TTATTTCAAAAAGGTTACAACTGTTGTCCCATGTGCAATACATTTATATATTACATATTTATACCCAGTCTAAATTTACGCAGCCGGCTGGCAGTAAGCAATACATAACAATTGATGGTTGTAATGGCGATGGCGTGACAACGATTGCTTGCTGTCAGCTCTAATCAAAATTCTGTTTCAAATTTCAAGTGCGGCAATTATCTAAATTAATCGTTCCTACGCTTCGTTGAGTACAGTCATATAGTTCACTACTTTCGATTATTGTCTGTCCGGCTTACTTAACCACCAACTTATGCTTGCTTATGTTACGGCACCAACTTATGCTTGAAGATGTTTTATTTTCGCTTCAAGCTATTTTTCAAGTGTTTTACCCATCGCCAGCTACGGGATAGACAATACATATCAAGGCTTCTGCTGAAAGTGTGGTTAAACAATGTGAGATTTGAGTCACAAACTGCTCTCCTCATATACTAACGTCTTATTAGAGTAACGTCTTATCGAGAGGGCTGCTTAAACAAGAAGCGTTCACAGCACACGCAACACACTGACAGTTAACTGACTGTCTGCAACGACTTACGTAAAGTTGATACCCGTAGCAGCTCCCGCTGGCAGTTTTTGAAGGAAAACGTATTTATAGACTAGTGGGTTGGTGGATACCATAGGGGTTACTCACTGTTAGTGGTGCAACGAGTTGTTAGCTACTAAATATATGTAGAACGACTGGATGAGCGGGTGAACGACGCTACGGCACCAGCTTCGGCGCCACCAGTGCTCGTCTACTGGCAGCAGCAGCAGCCGTTGCCGGCGACTGGCTGACTAGCTAGCTAGCTGGCTGGCTGGCTGGCTGGCTGGCTGGCTTTCATGCTTGCTTACTTACGTCCTTTCTCTGTTTATCTCACGTATGTGCGAATACTGCCACAGCTGCTGTTTCTAATGCTACCAGCGGTTGGTGTCTTGTCTGTTTTGAGCGGCACAGCTCAATGGTCCCAGAGCTGCCCTGGTATGACTAAGGGTGTCTGCTGTGAGATGCACATTTTGTATGCGGACAAGCTCAACGTGCAGTTCAAGCCTACAGAAGAGCGGAGACCTACACAGTAACGACACAAGCCAGCGTAGCAGAAGATAAAGCAGAAGCAGCAAACAGTCTCTGCTTGGGCTAGGCAGCGGGAAACATTTCAGCGAGATAGGGGTCAGCAGATAGTAGGACCTATACAAGGATTTAATGTGCACAATCAAAGCAGGGTGATATCGGCAGTAATCTTTTGCCATATTACTAGGCTGGACCAATTGCACAGGCCAAATGGCTTGACAGTCTGAAGACAACATGCCATATTTATTACTATATTGGGAAACTTTTGTATGTGCCCTATTCATTTAAATTTTGCTTAAAAGTAATAATTCGGTGAAGTGGCAATGATAAAATCATAAGGCCAATATAGTAATTTACCGCTATTGTTCGAAACGCGGGTAAGGACTTGGATGAGAATCAAAGCCTGGTTACTTATGAAACCTGGGGACTAAAACTTCTACAATACTTAAATGGTGTTTTTCCATACGAATCAGCAGATTCGTACTTGATAAGCACATAAAGCGCTTTCTTCTAGTAATTCAATGTAAACATACAATTCAAAACTATTAATATGTTATAGTAGAAATCTTGAAGCTCTGCTATTTTGTGCGGCTTCTAGTTAGGCGCGACAAGAGAATGTGTTCTTTTTATTTGATTTATCGGAAAAATCGATGGTCCCAAACAGGAACCGACGAATTTAATTTTATGACAAATAACTTTTTACAAAAACAATAACTCGCAGTTTTAAAGACTAAATTTGACTGGAAATTATTTGTTCACGAATAACCTATAATTTATTTTAAATATTAGTGTTTCGCTTACGTAATCTTTTTCTACCGCGCAATGATTGGTAGAGATCATTTATCGTATGTTGGCTGAGCAAGGTAAGAATAAGGTACTAAGAATAGGTACTAGAATAAGGTAATAACGAAGGTCTGTATACTGGCGAGTTCAGTTATTACATTTAATATATGATACTATGCATATGATTGCCAATTGGGTGCAAAGCATGCTAATCTTAGGGACACGTTATGGTCTAGGAAAGACAGACCCCGTTTCGTGCTGGGAGCCAGCCAGGCATCTAATAGAGTGCCTAGCGGTGTACCGAATATAAAACTCGAAACATAAAGGGGCAAAGCATGTATTTTCAAAGTAATTATTTTTTCAAGCCTTAGTAGGTCTATAACGAAAAAGACAAAACTCACATGTCATTCACTCTCCATTTACTGTAAAAGCGTTTAGTTTAGAGGACTTTTACTTAGCTTTTATAGAACTTTTTTTCTATTAAGCTGCAGGATTTGATGCTACTCAGCAGCTAATCCGTTTTTCGAGACACTGATAGATTTTTCTTGCTCATCATAATCATTGTTGGGCAATTGCTCAGTACTGAAAATTCCTTTCCTCAATTGCATTTGCGCACTTCATTTTTTACGTGAGCAAATGTAAACATACGTCCATGTTTGCTTGCAGCTACTTCAGTCTGCTTGTGCTCGGTTCGAGAAGGTACGTGACCTTTCTTCTAAAACAAATGATTGGCGACGTTATTCAGTTCCCTCGTGATTAACCGGCTAACTATAATCAATACAGAAAAAACTTCGGCTGATCCTAAAAAAATTCTGCAAGGCTACCCAGGATTATTTCTTTCACATGTCCCATTACACTGCGGATACACTTTGTTGCAAATGAATAAATCAAAATCCGTCGAGGAAAACTGTTGCAGAACTTGATTCTGCTCTGGGTTGAGCCAAGCGTTGTATTTAAAGAGAGACTAGGTTGACTTAAGAAAGTCAGCCTTGCAGAAAATAAACTCACTAAATTGAATAGCAAAAAAGTTCTATCAAACTCCAGAAGATGAAGGACATTAAAATCATTTTCTTGTGTTACATCTATTCAGCGCAGTATTATCCGACCACACGAACCAGCTATCTAGTTCGATAGATAACGTATGATTACATGCTTTTTTAGATTATAATACAGTAATGCCTGGATGACGCCTATGGAGAAGAATGTGCAATTAATTTTAATCCTATTAACTTTTGTTCATTGTAAACTCATCATGTCTTCGTGGATCAGTCTCTCCCATATCCCCAACTTTCTGCCGGTAAGACCGTTTAAGCCGCTTTTCTTATCGAATACCGACTAATCTCCCACAGGGACCCTGTTTGCGGTGGAGACAACCAACAGGCTGACTGATAGCGAAAACTTGTAGGCAGAAACCTAAATCACGTACAGTCTTATCTGTGAAAAATACTTGAGCTAACCGATTGTCGGTTTTGCTCAAGTAGTTCGGCGACTCAAAGCTAGATAGTATACCGCTGGTCATGACATGAATGAAAACAAGACCCATTCTAATATATATGGATTGCCGAACAAACTTGAGGCTAAAGCTACATATCTTGTGTGAATTTGAGCCCGATAGAGATAAGGGCGCCGTACCGTTCACGAGTTGGTGGCGTGAGACGAAGCTAAACATAGAATTTTAAAAGGCGTTTTGACGGGAAAACTAAATCTCAATATGTGAGGAACTTCTCTCTGAAAGGGTTACCAAAATTCAATAAAAATACGCTAAACATAGCGACAACATTAGAAATTCAAATTATCAAAATGCGATGAATCTTCCAATCACCAGTTCAAGCACAGGAACCAAAACTGTTCCTTTCGTCTTAAATAGATACATGCCTGTGTTGCAAAATCTTTAGCCTGCGTACCTTCTGACATTGGCATCATCATGAGGAATCTCTCTTTATTGTCGGTTTGAAGTAAGTGATTTGTGGTATTTATAAATACGAAACGTTCGTCGAAGATGTTCGTCGAAGTATGTCGATGAAAACGGCATGAAAAATCGGCCACGATGTGTATACGCTGGCAATGCGTATTCGAAGGACTTTGGTATAACACGATATTAGCCTTTAAGTTGACAATCAAGCTCGCGAACATGTTGATCGCATTGTCGCGGTACTAAGTCATGCCTCGACTGTGGCAGGACAAGTTTCGCAAAGCACTCAGCTCTGCAAGACGCACACCTTTCGCATTTGTTGTCATTTGAAACATTGGGTAGGTTTGAGTCCGTGATTGCAACACGGGTCGCCATTTTGTCCACAATACATTGAAGAACGCTTCAGCCAGCCTGCCTTAATCTATTGGTGGTCAAATTCATTGACCAGCACTTTAGGTAGACGTTTGATCTGGGATAATTATAATCTTATTTTCTACTGGAATAAGGTTGTCATAAAATAGTGAAATGTCGACCATGCAGGATTGTCAACAAGCTTGAAAATTGTCGAAAGGCTTAGAATCCCGAGGGGGTCAATAAAGTACTACAAACGGTTTAGGATAGTTGAGTATATTGGGTAACCTATATAGCCGATAAAAGTTTGCAGAAAGAATTAGTAGATTGAACAGAACGACGTTGTTTTTACGACAGTGATCAATAGGTTCCCACGGTTTTATTTAAGGTTCCCGAACTTCATGCCGAAGGAAGTTTATGCGTCTTAAAAGACTTATAAGCGAGACGTACATTCTGCCTTATACAAAGTGGACGTTATCGATTCACTTAGATTGTATTGTTTTACATTGTACGCTGTACTCGTAGGATGTCATACCAGCTAGCGTAGTTAAGAGCCAATTGATTCAATATGTGTTAAGGGTCATTTTCATGAACAATATTTGTAAGAATCATGGAGTGGCTGTTCTATTTACATCAGGCAAACGCTTAACTGGAAGAAAGAGCGAGAGCGCTCCGAAAAAGCCAATCTCAAAAGTCAATTTCACACACAAGTTGGCAGCAACGATGCATACGATGATGTACACGTTAAGTTTCCGTGTGAGATGTTACAGCGCGTGCAACGGTCAGAGGCGCGCAAATAATGATACGAGTGCCGAAATATCATTAGGACTAGGATTGTCTACTAAGGTCATTATATGCGTGTACCTTCTTTCCGTGGCAGCATCTGGTGAGGACCACTCATGATCAGACGTGGACAGATGGAGAACAGGTTGTTGTTGTAAATGATGATGATGTTGTGGCGGTGTTTGCTGTTGCTGCTGCTGCTGCTGCTGCTGCTGCTGCTGCTGCTGCTGCTGCAAATGCTGTAGATGCTGTTGTAGATGGTGAGGACTTCCATTGGATGAGGTGTGAGCCGCGGGAGGCGCAGAAGCACCGGCTGTTGCTCCTCCTGCCCCATGATGTCCTCCAACAGCTGCTCCAGCGGCAGCCGCAGCAGCGGCCGCTGCCATAGCTGTACAGCTGTTGAGCTGTTGCAGCTGTTGAATCTGTTGCAGCTGTTGTAAGGGGTTAAGATTGAGTTGACTAAGTTGACTCAACTGACTGAGCTGACTGAGGGGGGCGGCCAACAGGGGAGCAGCCACTCCTGCTCCGTTCTCGCCGCCGTTCCCGCCACCCCCGCCAGAATCGAGGCCGGCCAACACGTTTAGGGCACGGGCCGCGGTTGCACCTGGTCCACACTGAAATTCAATAACAATACGGAAAATGTCGTATTAATAACAATGGTTCGCAGTTATTATAAGTAAATTGATTCGTGACATAACCTATAAGTCGTCTACACACCAATAGTTAGCCTGCTCTGGGTAGTCGGACTTATCATCGGACAATAACCTGAGATGCCCTGGCAGAGCTACTTTGATATTAAAGAGTTTGATCTGTACCACACACAGTCCAACGTGAGCACGATTGCAGACCTACAGTTTCACAGTGAGCTTGATTTTCTGCTTTCCCACTGATTGTACTATTTTATTACGGCTATAGCTATTTGATGAGTATACTCGATTTACTACGAGTACAGGTATTCTATTGTTCTTCTAGACACTTCGCCACCATGGTAAACCTGTTCCCATAAATGCACTAACATATCGGTAATCTTGTTATTTTGGTGCAATTAGGGTGTTCTATTAAATCAATTGTTTCATATAACATTACTAGTCATTTGTTGTCACGCACTGTGTACACCCAGTGAAATTTTTCTACCCATTCCAATTGATTTTTATTGGGTGCTCAAAGGATGGATATTGTAACGGAAAAATAATTTTCTCAATGAACAGAGAAAATACTTTTAGGACGTAGTATAATTTCATTTTTTTTAAATGATCTCGGCAACGTTTACTTCATTTCATTGTAAATTTTAAAGTTTTGCCAGCTAAAATGCTATGATTAATGCGATCAAGCGCCTTAGCGAAATCAAAATGCATAGAACAAGGGGCACTTCTTCATGCGCATGGTCCACTTTTTTCATCATTTGGGCCAGTTGCTTTGAAGCACTCCCCTTTCGTAAAGTCCTGCTGACATTCACCAAAAAGTTCTCTTGAAGATAAGAACATAGATGATAGGACGCGCCGGGTTTACAATCGAAGCTCCGTCTTTGTATAGCTTACTAGAAGCAGAAGAGGTTTTGCTGTCCGTCCTATATCTCCATCTCATAAAAATGAGGGTAATCTATTAGGCGTGAAGTTACATTTTCAAGGTAGTTTCTTGGTCTCTCTTCAATGATTTTCTACCCCACAAGCATGGACAGGGGAATGTGATATTTTTGCAGTTGAGTCAGTATCCAATTTTATAATGTCACGCACATTGGTACAGACGAGGCTCTAAAAATTTTGCTTCATCAATATCTTTTTCTACTAATTATTCACGTGTTTTATTTAATTTAATCTGATATTTGTTCTTGTTCTTGGTCTTGGTCTTGGTCTTCGTGTTTGAAACGCGAACCGGACATGTTCCGATCCATGACAATGACGAAAGTAAGGAAGCGCTTCCTTTTCTTAGTTTATCTAAGTATTTAGGTTTCGAGTCAGCACCCACCTACAGATTTTATTAAATATGTACAGATTTTCAAATGTCTAATATGGTTGCGCTCTGTTTACGCATAGACGGATCTATAAGACACAGTGTATACACCGCCGACATGTTATACATGTCGTCTATGTTTGGGTACCAGTCTTAAGGGAGTAGGTCGTTATGGAAGTACCTCACAGCTTCCTTTTCTGACGCTACATTCTGTTACCACATGATGGTTCTGCACTACAAATGAGTGAAAAATAAATAATGTTGTGATCATTGCGGGCTAAATATGCTAAGAAGATAAATTGCTTTATTAATTAGCAAGCATAAGGAGTTGCTTCACAAACATTTACGAAGCAAAACGTTACTCAGAATCTGCAGTAAAAAAATATTGCTTTTTTTCCAATGGATCGAATGTAAGTTGAAGTCATTGAAAACTATTATTGCAAACGAAGCCTCATAATACGAGTCGAGTGGTTGGCAACATTTTCAATGTAATAGTGGATCGCACTGTAATTTAACATAGTGATAGAGGACCTAGATATTTTTGTGCTTTCAATTTTGACTACTTAAGAGCTAGGGGCAGCCCTAATGATTAGGTTAGCAACTTCGAAAGCGAGAAACCAGCTAAAATTTGTTTTATCGCGACGCGTGAACTGTTTCTACGAACAGAAGAAATCCTTGCACTGGACTTTGCCAACTATTAGTCGACATTGTTAAAATTACGTTCATTTTTTTCGGGTGGAGTGTCCTACAAGCCGAGTAGATAAAATGTAACTCTTTGATCTGAAGCGATGTCACAACTATTCCATTGTCCTTAATCTTGCAAAATATATAATTCATCCTCACAAAGACTAGATTGTGTGCTGGTATAACCTCAGGGTCAACATGCTGTCGCGGTGTCCTTTTGAAAAACCTGCCCACGCTGTCCTTGGACCATTCGTAGAACAGGTCGATTCTCAGCGATATCTGAACCGTCCGACAATTCGTATAGCATTTGAATCTGCAGCTAAGTGCGACCTTGTTTCGGATAACTTTTACGTAAGTTGCCAGCAGTCTTTCACCACCTCTATAGACGTTTTAATGGAGCTAAAAGCTCTTCTTGTACAAGCATATCGTTCCCATGTCATGTGCCCCTTCAGTCGCGGCTTGAGTACACACTGTACTCTCATCCGCTAACTACAAAACCGGCAGAGAAATACTACCGAGCATCAATGTACTTTCTTCACCTGCACAAGCATTTTGCATGCACGCCAGAGAACACGAAAAAACATTAGACTTGCTTTTCAAAAAACTGATAACCTCAAGATCGAAGTTTCTAATATTGGGAAAACAACAAACCTTACTCTCTGTGTAAATGTAATTTCCGCTGTGAGCTTTACACGCGACACCGGTTTGTCGTGAACAATTTAACCAAGCAGAACTCTTCCTCAACTATATACCTATTGAATTCCCATCATCCTATTATTTTTTGGCAAGTAATCCAAAATATCTAGCTCTTTCATTCACAGCAGTCTGCTTATGAACTTTAATGTTTCGGCATATTTTCGAAATTCTCGACGCTTCGCGCAACGATTATTGTCGTATGCGCCATATTGGAAAAGGGAATAGATTTCCAATATAAACCTCACAGAAATTCTCACCTGCCGTCCAAGACGGTGGCCAAAGAAAAACAGATCATAACAACAACAGTGTGTCAACCGGCAACAGTACATGGCCACAGGCTTCTTATCATCTACAGACAGTATTCAGACAAGCTTCCCGAGGCAAACAAAGTACGGGGCTGCCATCCAATCGATGTCTGCAATGTTACTTTAATACACGTAGGTTATCTAGCTTTCTCTAAAATGGGTGAGAGGACCGCCGACGTGAGACATAGGCCTATCATAGATAAAAGTGAGATTGTTCTTGGCATATTTTCGTTCGTCTTCATCAGAAGTCCTATTACGACTTCATAAACTCAAGAATGAATACAAAACGATGCCTGCGACGACTCGGCTTGCTTTGCTAATAGTCAAGGTAATTCCACGTATGAATATGTATAATTTTATGAATATGAGTAATATATTGTGTATTCCCAGAAAATCGTTGAAGGGGGGGGGGGGAAAAACGTCCGGTGGAGTAAGGAAACATTATCAAATGCTGTCACCAAACTGTGTACGGCGTTTGTGGCTTGCGTACTAGTCCTATTAGTGTGATTCCAATATATTGTTGTTGTTTTATTCTAATACGATCCTCGCTCATGGGACTATAGACATATTTTGAATTCGTAACAATTCCGGCGCTGCTGCTTCTACTCTTAGTTGGAGGGGGCTGACAAACGTAACATAACTACCACCTTCCGATCCTTAGGACAAAAATTATTTGATAAAAGTTTACCTCGGTAGCAGTCGGCCCCTGCCATAATATGCATGATAGGACAGATCTGAGTGGGAGACAATACTGCTTATTAGATGTCGCCGTCAAGAAAAACATCGAATAAAAAAGTGAAACAAATCTAGTTTTTTGTTAGCGATAGCTTATAGCAGTGTCTGCCTTCGGGTTGGGTTCTAGACGCTACCTATTCAACGCTTATCTAGTCGTTCTATTTTATTGCGATACCTTTTTTCCTGTGGTGTAATGGTGATGGTAGCAGAATGGAATAAGCGCAAAAAAATTATCATGCAGAAGCCACTGCATTGTTAGCACCGTTGGGGATTAGGTATTATAAGAATAATAATATAAATAATTTATCCAGTTGACGAAAATAGACTACTTTGTTAGGTATGAATGAGTCGACCTGAAAAATCCGACAGCAAATGGCCGGCAAGCTTTACTGGCTTTATGCCGGACGACCTTTTTAGCTTTAGACTAGAAACCATTTTTCAAGCCCAAAACCGAATTTAATGCAATTTAGCCATATCTTTCCTGAAATATACGACGGTAACCAAATAATATAAACAATCGGATTTTGAGGTATCTGACGCCGCTGTTTCAGCTTTTAATAATATTGAAATTGAATATTATAATATAATATTGAAACCCTACGTATCAACATTTAATAACAGTATTCGTTAAATAGATTGCATCTTTTCTGTATGCACGATGAATGTAAGTGCAAATGTAAGGTACGTCATTTATGCAATATTCAAGTCGTATGTCGCCCGTCACGGGAAGATTGCTAGCCGTCAAAAATCAGAGCTCGTACCTCTCCGCCAGAGGCAGAATAGGCATGATTCGTTTAGTGACCTGTAGTCCTAGATTATGATTCTCTAGCGCAAGCATGCTTTCCGCATCGTCAGTATTGTCTTTAAATTCCGATCGTTGCTAACCGCCATTACAAGCTGTTCTCAAACTTTTCTATAAAGCTTTTTTTTAACATTCTCTGATGGCTGTGTTCAGTCCACAAACGTCATGGGCTCCTCGCTACATACGTGGCGAGAGTTTTCAAACGTCATCATCGTTATTGTCGTCTTGCGTGCTACCCTGCCTGAATTCGCTTTATCCTTCTTGTCGTAGTTGCTGGTATTCAGGCGCCACAACGGGCCTCACGATTTGATGTGGGCCTCCATCTACTTTCCGCCTAACAGAGTACCTAGAGGCATCACTAGCAGTTCCTCACGTAAAATAAGGAACCTAATCACGGTCATCGCAAATTACTCAAATACGCTTGCTCCCAAGATTCGCGATTGCTAGCGGATAGCGGCTAGATGACCGCTAGATGACCAAATCTGACCACCTCAATTCAGTCCATTACAGAGGGAACGACAGCGCCACCAACAGATGCCGTTCAGCGAATCCAAATTTATGATAAATGGCCCTAAAGATATAGCGGCCGAGCGTTAAACGAACAGCGAAGAGTCTACGATAGGACATCACGAGTCGAATACCTAAGTTCGCAGAGGAGAAACCAAAGCTCTGGTCGCGTTGGCGTTCTCCGAAACAGGGATAGCAGCATGCATTAAAGAGAGCTACAGCAGCGATAATTGCAAGGCCGGTTCTCTAATTTAACAGTTCTTTTCAAGTAAAAATAGGCATTTCCAAAAAAATAGCGACCAGTGTTACTTAATAGTTAACAATAGTTAGTTCAACTTCATATGTTTATAAACGTACTATCTTTAACAAATGTATCCAAAAGCCCTCATCCATCGAGCTGGATGAATAATCAATCCTTTTTATCAGAATATTTGCTCGTTTAACAAGACACGAATACGTCCGATGGTTTGCTGACATGGGCCAATTCAGTGTTGACGATATATTCGAATAAAGTTGTGGTTCTTATAGTAAACTTTTAGGTAGCTAAAGGATTCATAAGAGAGATGTCGCGTCGTACAGTCATGTCCCTCAAAACATATTGTTTTGCCTCTGCCTGCTAAAGGAAGCAAGGAAATCTTGGCCAATCCTGCCAGCAAGCAAATAAAGGTCTACTAACGATCTTGGTTTGTGTCGTTTTTAAAAAGTTACTCTGTCTGTATAATGTCAGTTGAAATATGTATCTTGCGCTTAGTTGAAAAAAAAACATCGATTTTCATTTCTCTCAGTGACTAGTCGAACAAAGAAAGCGTTATTATATAAACGTTTAAAAAGACAACAGGCTGTTGAGGTACAAACAGCTTTTTTCTTATTATTGTTATAATGAACGCTTTCGCTGCAATTGACATGTTTATTTCAAGGGAAGAAACATAACCCACTTGCGAAGAAGGCACAGCTCATTCTTTAAAAAATGTATGTTCCTTTTTTCCACCGTCTCATAGAACTTAACTATTTTACTGGTCGGAATGTCACGAAGAGATTTCATAAAAAAAACAAAAAAAAAAAGAGAGATACGTACCGCCAAATCTCTTTTGGTTCTCCTGCTTTTTTACTTCTCAAAGTTAGTGCAACTAGGTGTAAACTTACGTTTGAGAAATTCTCTTTTGCAGCCTAAAGACTACGATTTCAAATGTCCATAGGCCCCAGTGCGACCATCGACGCACACACTGATCCTACTTTATATCCCAGAAAGTCAGTGTGACTTTCAAACCATTTTCGAAGGCACCGAGAAGGCGTAAGGCCCATAAGCAGTTCCGGTAAATCCAAATCCGCTCGTTCCGGTATCACGGAAAGTTTCTACTGTTTAGCTCACGCCTTCCAACTTTTGCGACTCTGTTATCTGAAGAACATACTCAGTTTTCACAGATACGCGCGTAATTAGACGAACCCATTACGATAAGCTTTTTTTTTACGTAGAAACAATTCTTACGGTAGAACCTTTAAATAAATTGATTTCCTTTTGACCATAATATTATGACATTATTTCTACTTTGTCAATGTATGATACCTCTTAAAAGGACTAAATTTTCTCTATGAAGTAAACAAAGCTATTTTAGCTGTGCATTTAAATCTTCGTGATGGTTAATTGAAAACTGAGTGCACATTTGATTGCTCTGAAAGGCGTCGGTTGTGGTTTATTGATCATTTTTTTTTTTATAAATAGACTGTGAATAAATCCAATCTCAAGCAATGAGAAACTTAATAAAAATACATTCTATGTTATAGTCAAAATAGTAGTAACGCCATCGTTCGGATAAAATTTTGTATTCAAACGTCCATTATTTGCAGCGCATAGACCGCCGTATGTCGCATAATTTTCTGTGAAGTACATCGCTGATTGAACATGGCTGCAACTAACTAATCATTGTTTATGGTGGAAGATTCCGCGTACATCACTGCCGAGATGGCCTGTCTATTTTAGATACGTTTGTTCCTTCTACAGTAATAAACGCTAAGAACAGATTTTTAACAAAGACATGTTGTCAGGAAGCATATAATTTGCCGCGCATCATCCCTCTAACAAGCAGCGTCAGGCCAAAAGCGGGTCCAATCTGACGACCAAATGATCATACATGCCCTCCTCCCCGGTCCTACCCTATTCATTTTCTGTACGTTCACTTAGAGGTTTTGCATCTTAGCCATAAAGCAAGCACTCAGCCCACCCCTTTGGCCGCCTTTTTTCCTTCGGATCAACAAAAAGGCACTCACACGCTAAGTGGCCCTGCAACTTATGACTAAGAACGCAGTTCTATCAGTAGAGCTGAGTGATGGGCTAATTATTATAGGTATATAAGCAAATATGTATATTACGCAAAAATAGCTTAGCTTCTTATTACAGTACATAGTTACATATTAGCGAAGCAAACCCCATGTCTTCGTGCCGAATACTGCCGCTTAACTCTTTCAAGGAACACACGCAGTGAAATTCGCATTCGTGGCTCTGAAAAAGGACGGATCGCACTTTCGGTGGGGTTGGCTCCGTTAAAGTCACCTCTTCTGGCTTGTTTTCAAGTTACTCTTAGCATCTTTGTTTTTACACAACTCTTCTTTGATTAGTATTACATTATAGTTCAATATAGGGATCCTTTCGTCGTAAGTACTAGTTTGCGGTTGGCACAGGATCATCATAATAATCGACTACATTCATATAACTTCTAGTTACAACAAATCCCGATCAAGCTGAAGATTTTACCTATATGATTAAGTGGCGTGCTTTGTACGTTTATGTCTGTGTGTTTATTCAATAGCGTTCGCTGTGGCAACTTTAACCGCAAGTGATAGAAGAGTGAAAGGAGACTGTCTATTATTATATGAAGATCGAAACCGAAGCGAGAGTTCAAACAGCCGTGTAATAATACCACCGCATAATGGTAGCGGTTAGCTGAGCGATGATGTGAACGACGTCTACGAGAATGTGATCGCTGTACATCCATCATCTCTAAGCACAGCATCGGGAGCTCTTCCGATTCGCCGCTAGTTTCCCACCACTCGATCATTGCTGCACCTTCTCTTCTAGGCCTTCTGCGTAACATAGGTACCGCTAACGCTCCTGCTATACGCAGTCAACAACGCTCAGGTCCTATGCAAAATGTGTTCTTCTAGGGTTTTGGCTCGTAGAGGAACGAGTAGCGACCAATCGAGTGCGTGAGTACTAAGTGAATGACGTTTCTGTTCACCATACACAGAATACGATCAGCCGAAACGAAGTCTCGGAGGAGGACAATCAAAAATCAACCTCATCTTTCTTCTACGACTGCTCTCCCTCGCTGCCTGCCGAATCTAACTATGGCTTCACTTAACTCTCGCCAGCTCTCAATATAGCTTTCACTGTTATCCCGTAATGATTTATCATTCGGGCAAGAAGAGCCCTCGTTGGACCGACTGGGGTGAACATGAACGAATAGCGACGACATGCATACTTTTAGTGTAAACGTAATTGAACTATGATAACTATAGCAAACTGACAGAATAGCAATGCAACTATGATTTTAATAAAAGAGAAGTTACTTTGACAAACGACTTCACCCGATGGTTGCTGATGAGCGGTGCATCGAAGCGCTTGGTACTTGATTATCTGAAGGTCTTAACACTGACAAATCCGAAACAGCATGCGGACCTTCATGATTAGATTAGGGCGACAATGGTAGTTCAATGTTCGCCGTATCCTGCCCCGTTACGTTTCACCAATAGCCGGACATTTATTATACGCGAGTTGATTGCAATAATTTTATTCACCAATTTATTTTGGTCGGAGTACCCGCTGCGGGAACAGCTTAATTGACTACAGGGTTCCGTAGGAGTGTGTAGGAGAGATAAATGTATGGTTAAATTGCATCCATGCTGCATGTTCTGTAAATTACTTATGGCCGACCAAAGTCATCAATCAGTACAGGTAGTTCGAGTTGAAGGTCAACAGCAATTGGCGGTTAACTATAGGCAGACGCCTTCGGGGATGTGTCGAGTGTTTACCTCGTATGCAGATTCCCTTTTGCCTTCTTTCACTTTACCTTGCCCCTGATTATTGTCCCCTCTTCTCAAGGTAGCCAGTTTTATAATAGAACTAATCATGTCTATAGACATCATATGCCCGACGTTGCGCTTTCTTTCATTATATCTATGAACGTAACTTGGGTAACTATGAAATCTACGCTCACTGCCTTAGTATTCTTATCGATAAATTTACGTTTGTTATTATCTTTTTTTCCTTACACTGAGGAAAAACTACTTCATCAAGGTGCGAGACTATTGCTTTCTGCGAGAGCCATCCTAGTACTCTCGTGCAAAAGTAAACTTTAGAAACAAACAACGTACAAAAACGATGCAGGCAGCGATTATGCTGGGCTTCGCTACGTTGAGTTCTCTGTCAGCTGCACAAAAGGTTGTCGTTTCTGTGTTTAGCCTTTTCGAAGACATTACGCTGCCGATGGTTGTTGCTAGCAGATTGCTAGATTTCTCGTTCAGTCATCAAAAATGATACCAGATGTTATGTGCTAATAAAACACTTGATTTGAAGTTCTTCTGTTTCCGAGGTTTATTGAATCAGTTCACAAGTTCCAGTTTTCAAAGTATAACTCCCTTATGTGTTAACAAGTTATATATTCGTCACTTATATGGGATCACTATTGTCCACGTAACAGCCATATACAACAACACTAATTAACAATAGTTCACTGCACGTTTATATCACCTTTAAAATAAAACGTTTATAAGGTATATAATAGCCATACGTTCGTGTCACATGTCCGGAGAGATGATTCACATCATCAAAGAAAACCCAGTATATTGTCTATATGTTTGCCTATATCAGCTACTCTTTTCCTCTCGGTATATAGAGCAGTTGTGTTGTCCTCGGTTAAGGTGACGCTGACATCCAGTGAGGGGTTTCCTACCTCGTGGCAACCGATGTGGAGAGGGCCGAAGAGGAGGGTAATGTACTGGCCACCCCGCAATCTGACCCCTTACCAATCTCCCGGCTTCCCCCGTCAGTGACCAAGGCAAGAATTCCACCAGGGGGGATGCCTGATCACCGATATGTCCACCGTTAATCATTTACAAAAACAAGTTATTGTTTCGACCTGAATATGTGATACTTGCGTACCCTCTTCTGCCATATTGAGTTCGTTTTCTGTTTGAGAAACGTTTGGGAGAACCGTAATGTCTATGAAAACTAAATGGTAAGATCGATGATTCGTACATCCATCTCATGCTTCTACAAACGGATCGTCGCGATGGCCGTATCGATAAGGTACCAAACTTACATTCATTAGGTGTAGGATCCGACTCCCGATAGAGACCCTTGACGTGAGAGTTATCAGTATCAACTGATCGTGCAATTGCGTTTGACCAGCCTAAATATTGTTGAATCCTCTACTTGCAAGTATTTTCGAAATAATACTAGATGCACCACGGACAACTACGTCCTCCGTTTGCGGAATTGTCTGTACTGAGGGATTACAGATAGGTGGTACAAAGAGGCAATAGGCAGCAGACGAGACCATCATAATGCGATCACGAACAGAAACGTGTATATAATTCTAGCTAGGTAATCACTTCCGTTAGTTGAACACGAGTGCGGTGTTTACGTTATCACAACTGTTTTTCGGTTTGTACCCTTCTGAGAAGTCGTCACATAAAAACTGTGAAATCACTGTCTCTACTGGGACCACAGCGTTCCTCCTAATTACCTCGTTATTGATAAGAATCTAAGCAGACGATTAAATGTCACCAGTAATTAAATAGCACTAAAATGTTATGTTTGTTAGTTTTTTTAGGTTGTAAGCGTTGACACCTTTTTGGCAAGAACGTTATGAATCCATGCCTTTGTCCATGGACAATTCATTCTTGCCATTTTCTTTACCGTTTCATTGCGCAAAACATCGATGCTAGGTTAAGCTAAATCCTAGAAACGGTTGCAGCTCATCTCCACAGGTAAGCTCACGCTTGTGCCTAAACATAGCACCGACTACCTCATACATATTACGCATACAATTTGCGTAGCAAATACACAGTAACGTCAGGTGATCATGAAGCAAACGTTTTGTAGAGACGCTTTAGACGAATCATTGTTCATTGCTCTTTTCTCATCGTATTTCCAGGCGCCAATTTGAATAAGGGTTCCCCCTGAATCGAAGCGGCTGATGTTTAGATCCTGTGAATATATTCAATGCAATTTAGCAGCCGCAGGGCCTTTTCCATTACAATTGTGATACAAGGGCTTAGTTGAAGACCCGTTCAACTACTAGGTGAGGTTTGACGACTGCACGCCAGCTTAATTAACTCATCCCACGTCAGCCTGCTCCTCTGAACAACTCCTGTAGATAGCCATCCCTAATGATTTCCACACGCAGATATTTTGATTAGTCTGATGAGGTTCTCTATGAGGAAACACAGTAGCGAGACGAACGCCCAAGCAAGGTGACTTTCTGAATAACGGCAACGTCTAATAGCAGACGTCAGGTTAGACGGTCTCGTTTTTATTACACACACCCACCTCATACTGAGTCCGCACAGTAATGCTGGCTCGCATACATCTTCTCTGCGACAGAACTTGTCGCAATTTTAGTGATGATATTCATGCAGTCCAGCTTACCGTCGGATCACCATAGTATGAACCTATTGGTGCCTTCTTCAAGTTACTGTGTCACAATTTTGACCGTTCGTTAATTACTGAAAAGAGAGAAAAGGCATAATTAAATGAGCTGATCGATTTTTGTCCTATTCGTATCATAATGTTGCTATTCATACTGCCTCCGCAAGCCAGCACGTAACAAATTTCGACTGAAATTATCATAGAATCATCCATCACCATTGGTAACAATACCTCTAGTTCGAAACCGAAGGCTACTGATTGGTTAGCACAAAAATAGGTGGAAAAGAAGGATATTGATGCGGAGTCAATTATTTTTACCAAGGCGGTAGAGATACTTAGCGTTGGACAACACATTTGCTTTTTAATTTAGCGTCAACTTCTATATACTATAGTTGATGGTTTGTAAATGGTTTTGCGAGAAAAGTGTCACAGCGTCATTATTCTAAATAGGCTAAACTTGGCACAAATGTACACACTGTATGAAATATAAACAAAAAAAAATACGGTACAAAAAATTACAAACGCGATTTTGCAGGAATGGACCGCTTAAAAACCAGTGTGACGATTTTATTGGTTCATGTTCAAGCTTTGTCTTACTGAAAATATTCCCTTTTATATATTAATATTGTTCTATTATAATTAGCTAAGGTGAGCACTTATGAGAAATCCAGCATGAAATCGAAAGACGCTTGTCATTTTCGGTAGCTCTTTTAATTCTCCTCTCTATGTGAATAGGTCCTGATCAAGATCGAACTGGGATATGTGTTGCTGGAATTATCTAGAGTTTTGCTAATAGGCCTCTAAAACGGCCTAGCAATAATACGAGCAGCTACTAGCTTTAATAATAATTTATTATTTCCTTTAACTTTTCATTTTCCTAGCTATTACTTTTTAGCATAACGTTTGTCAATGCTGACATTTGAACAGATACTTGCCATGGTTACCATAAATCACCCAGACCACGTAGCTCTCTCATTTCTCCATTAGGAAAAATCATAGTGATGAAGGCCTTCAAGACGCCCAACAACAATTACTATAGGAAAATCGTAGCGCAAAACAACGGCAAGGTTAAGAGGACAATGACGAACAGACCCGATGGTAAGCACATCGACTTGTGGATAGAACCACCGAGCTATGGGTGAGATGCACAAAATTACCGTCAAGAATCTGGCGACACTCTTGGATTTCGCTATTTGAACGACAAGCGCACGCTTAGGAAAATAAGTCGAGATTAATCTTGATTACATAGTATTTGACTCAGACGTCTTAGTTAATAACAAACTTGAAAAAAATCGCTGCCGAGCTTTCCGAACACGTAAAATGAAATATCTTGCATATAAGTCGCTGTTAGGAATTTTCAAGATTTTTCGGAAGCTGAAGATATTATGCCATGAAATTGTTTAACTTCGATAAGATTAGCGGCCAACATTACTCTTTAAACATCAAAATAAAGGTCACATCTCGACCAATCCGCAGCGAGGATTTAAGGCTTGCAGTATTAATCTAGTTATCCCAGATGATTGCTTCCAGACGCATTTCGATGATTCTTTCTAAATTTTTTTACCGATCAAATGACCGAATCAAGCCTGCAGGGAATGTGTGAATGTCTTACCAGCGACAAGTGTCAATAAAAACGGCTGATGTCAAAACACTACTGGTGGTTGGCAAAGAGACCTGCCCGCGCTTATTTAAATGCATGCCTAAGCGATTTCGTCCGTTTTAGGGTGTAACATGTTTTCGAACAATTGTCGAACATGTTCATGAGACAATGAGGACGTAAGTCGGCTCTCCGCCTAAGCAGTCCTAAAGCAGGTCGTCAGTCGCACCTACAACTCTGAGCGCAGTTCAAAGAACCGTACTACGCACGGGGGCGTAGTTATATTATATTATTATGAAATTATAATCCAAAAGGATACTCCTCTTTTGTCCCATAACTGTTAGCTAGCTTTTTCTTTTTTAGCTCATTTTTAACATACTCTACCGTATGCCGGTACATTGCTCTGGAAACACATATTTGGCTTAGTCGTTACTGAAACAGTTTTCCGGTAAGCAACATCAGAGCTTATTATCGTTTTACTCGGATATCCAGATCACGGTAATAAAAACAGCACTATACAATCTAAAGCGTTTCAAACGTGAGCTCCGACACCCTTAATCAAACGAACGCCTTGTTCTAATTACAGTAACGTTTTGCACATAACGAATCGTGATATTTGCGAAAACATGTACTGTTTACTTCATGAAAACCCATATTTTGGCAAAGTACACAGAAAACGCGCGTACTGGATACCTTACGGTCAAATGTGCATTTGTTCAACATAAAATCTGGGCGTTTGCGGTCCTACCCCTGCCATCTGTTCTTCATTCTGTTCAGTAAGTTGGTTGTAAAGGTTTCGGGAAATCCATGCTTCGCTTCAATTTATTCGATAAACACCAGTGACGAAGTGCAGGAGACGGTTACACAATACCGAAGTATGAAGTCTAGTACCCGATTTAAGAAGGCCAGTCTTGCTAGATTTATTATGAATGCGATACTAAATAAATATCGTAAATTACAAAAAAAATGTTCGCCCCAAATGACGAAATGGCTGTTTTGATGAAGTCATTGCCACCAGTATTTTTCGTACCCATTCTTAGCAATATATATACCGAAGCGGTTAGGTGGCCGAACTCATCTACGAGTTTCCCGCGCTCTTGCCTATTTAACTCGAGCATATTGTTTTCTCTGAAAGCCCATTCTTGTGCTCAAACTTTATCGCTTCGGTGTTTCGTAAAATTAACGTTGCCAGAAGGGGCAACGTAAAAAAGTTGCCAGAAAGGGCAAACAGCCTTGCGTTACCTTTGCAGACCTCAAACAAAGTTATCGGTTAAAGATAATCAGCAATATTTGCTCCGGGTTTGAACTGAAGGTGAGCACCCATGCTACACCTCTATGAACCAAATTGAGAAATGGTTACCAACGTAACGTTGAACCTTGCTTACATGTTTCTAAATGTACATGCATTACACTGTGCGATAGTTTATAACTTAATGTCGAAGAGCGTAGCTTCAACTTTTACGTTTTCTGAACAGTACTAACAGAACTCATTGAACTAAGTTATACTGAGTTTTTTTTTAAAGTCAGATTAGAGGTAAATAGAGATTGCCATTCTAATGGCTGGTCACAGGTGTACAAGTGCCTGATACCTGTCTTATTTGAATAACATACTACAATGGACAACGAAACGAAACTGATTAATCGAAAGCTCACTTCTCTTTACTCTGGTTGCTCCACTTATTTCCAGCAGTAACGCCTTTGCTTCCCTAGAAACATAAATTAAAAATCTAGGCTCGAAGGTAGGCCTTGTTTCTCGCTAGGGGTAGCCTCTTTGCTGATACTTTGCAGTAGCAAACTTAATAATAGCACATTAGGTTCGAAAACACGAAAGAAGATGGGCTGCTACTAATAGTTTTAAAAACACCTTCTACATGACAGTATATAATATTTACCTCTACATACAATGGGGTTCGTTCGTAAAACTATCCCGTATCCCGTTGTAGAATACCAAATGGCAATCTGTCGTCGTGCTGCTATCATTCATTTTAGCGTTTTGTAGTATCATCACTATTTTACGTAATACGGCGGTAAGCAAGACTCGTGTTTCTTCTCTTTTGGTTTAGGTTTGTTGTTAGTAAGGGAAAGCCGTACGTAGGACGTATACTTACTTTGTTTCGTAGTACTAAGATCCGATCGTCAGGCAAAGACGACTTAATAATAATAATCCTTCCTGACCTGAGTATTGAGTTTACATCTGTTAAAATAGAATAATTTCAGTGTTACGTAAAATAAAAGCAGAAGTTAAAAAAGGTTTAAAAGTTACAAAAAAAAAAAAGCAAAATAAATTATTCAACCTGTGAGGCTACTTTTAGCCGATCCTGTCTGTATGCCGATGCATGTTATAATCGACCTAAAATTCCGAAAGAAAATTTTAATGCCTTAAACTAATACTAGCCAGCCTACAAATTTTGTATCTACCTCCCTACCTACCCTAGATGTATTATAAACTACGTAAAGAATAGTCAGTTCTGTGCGAAATCTTCTTAAACAACCTTCTGCACATCGTTCGAGTCCGACCTTTACAAATAAGTTAGTTTCACTCGCTCTAGTGAGAAGTGCTAGTATTTAGGGGAATCTGAAAGGCTGCTGCTGTTGCAGGTAACATGCTTCGAATGGCCCCCGACTCCCCAGGGATCTCAGAAAGAAACCATCCCACGATGGCTTGGAGTAACATTCGGCCTTTACACTGTTCAGTGTGTGTGTGATATAGA